CTTATTCGCCGGATTTAGCTCCGTGTGACTTCTTCCTCTTCCCAAAGATGAAAATTCAGCTAAAGGGAAGGAGATTTGAGACGATAGAAGAGATTCAGGCAGAATCGCAGATGGTGCTTGACAGGCTGACAAAGAAAGATTTCCAGGGATTCTTCCAGGCTTGGCAGCGGCGCTGGGATCGTTGTGTTCACTCCCAGGGGAACTACTTCGAGGGTGATGGATCAATTTAATACCTGAGACAAGTGTACGGGTTTTTATACGCGCAGTCTTGAAACTTTCCGATCGCACCTCGTATTTGTTTCTACGGGAAAAAGTTCGCGGACAAATTTGAATAGTTTTCGTTATATACTAAGTGGCACTAATATCGCTTCCAGCTCAGGAGTTCGCGGGCAACTGTATGAAATTAAAACTTCTGAGGTTGGAGTGGTCTCCGGTGACAATGGAATCCTTGAAAATTTCCGAACTGGCTCGCAGGATCGCACCACACATGCGACATGGCGATCTCATTCGGGTGCTTTTTATTGTTTGAGGCCGGAAATTAGTGTCGTGTGTGTGGCTTCCAGTCGTGAGAGTACTTCGAAGTTGCCATGGCGACTGCCCGAACAAGAATTACAAATGACGAAATAATCGTCTGTAGAACTATCAGGAAAAACTGATGTTTCCCGTTAAATTCGGTCATGCAGCTGTATTCGCCAGAGACGCAGTTTGTAGAGAACGGATCTGGAACCCCCCCATATTTGCCCCATCTGCGATTGTAAACGCGTATTCATTTATACAGTGATCCGAATTACGCAGTTCTACGTCGCAAAGAAATTGTCTCCTCCCAAGTAGTCTAGAAATAGTCTCAGTAAGCAACAGTCTAACAAACTTCACGGACCAGAGTGTCTTTAAGAAGCTGTTAGCCGCTCAGCTGGTCCTTTTATGGACCCAAAATGTTTATTGCTGTGTTCACAGTATCCTGCAACTGGGCCCTAATCTGAGCCAGTTGAATCCACCCCATGCATTCGCACCGCATTTATTTATATTATTCACTCATCTGCCACCAGGTCTCCCAAGTGGCCTCTTTCCTCGAGGTTCTTCGATTAACTTTTCTCACTTGCCTCGTACGTGCTACGTGTTTCGCACATTCTGTCCTCGACGGCAGAATAAGGCGATACATTTGTCTAATTACGAGATAAAGTCACCTGGATCTTATCTTCGATTCAGAGAATGCGTCCTCATACCGCCTTGAGATTCGTGTGAATGTTTATTGGCCGGGGGGGAGGCGGTGCGAATATATGGAAGTAATTTTGTTCCGTGAATTATTGTAACTAATTAACGTTTCTAATTGGAAGTGCTGTAGCGATACCTTAGGAACAGGGGCACCCACACCGTTCTCTCCCTCCCCATCACACCCCTGGCTGATCTAGAGGAACGGAGGTGATTAACATACTGTACTGAAACGGTGGATCCAAATTTCATCACCTCCTAAACGTCCCTGGCGTTACCTGTCTCGTCATTAACTTTATGACCTTGAGAAACCAAAATTCCTCCTGCTGGGCAAGAAAACCAGGTATTTTCATTACCGTGCTCACAAAAGCCAGCCTCTTTCCATATCCTGGGCCAGATTAATCCAGGCCACGTCTGCAAAATCCCATACCCTACGGCTAGATCGTCATATTAAGACAAATGTCAGACAAAATATGAACATTGAAAGTTACTCATCGCTGTGATGATGAAGGCAATTAGGATCTCTGAAATTTTCGTAAACATCTGTCAC